TTACAGGTCAGTAGTGTCAACTATGATTTTAAGGAACATGGTGTCGTCCCTGACATACGCGTGATTATTAAGTTCAGCCAGCGAACAAAACATCGGGCACCCACTGGCGATGTTGGTTTCTCTTCTTGGCCTCTGGAAGGATGAGCTGTTCGGATCAGGTCTGAATGCGTCAATCACGTGTTCCACATTATCCTGGTCTAGCAACATGAAGGTGACCTTCTGTCTGAATGGCCAGCGAAGAAGTGCGTCATACTGACCGCGCATGATCACAAAAAAGATAGAGATGTGCGTTCCTCTGCCCATTCCATCTCCGTTCAGATAAATGCGGGCGCACATTTTGTAACCGTAGCGACTAGTGAAGAAACACGGGCTGTAGAAGGAGACTTGTTGTCCAGTCACTGCGTCATTTCGTTTACGGGCATAATCAGAAATCTTCCACAACAGCTGGCCATCGTAGCTTGAGAACTCTTGCTGTTTTACGTATTCCTCCAAATCAGCCAGGGTTACGTTCCTGAGAGCCAGCGTGTGCTCAATAGATTCAATCCTTCGGTCATGCCTTCTGGTGCTCTCGTGAGTGGTGTCAAGTTGCCTCTTAATGTTGCCGACATCACGTCTAACTTCCTCCATTGTGCGATTGTTCTCGACTAGTAGAACTTCGTGGTCAGCGGTCCTGTTTTCAAGATTGACCAGTCTTCTTGAGTTTTCGCCAGATGGCAAATCCCCCTCAGATTCAGGCAGACGTTGGACAGACGCCTCTGTTCCTGAAGCATTTCTTGAAGCCACAGTTCTCTCAAGAGAGGTTATTCGTTCACTTTGCTCTCTTAATTTGGTTTCCTGGTTTCTTCTCTCTTCTGTACCACTTTGCAACTGGTTAAGAATATCTTGAACTATCGCGTCAAAGTTTGAAAGGAGCTGAGGGTTTCTAGACATGACTAAGGGGTTTCGTGTTAAAATACCTTCAACCTCTTTGGTCATCTGCAAGGTTTGTTTCAGAAGTAGAGACGTATGAAAGATATTTTCCTGTTCCAGATGTTTCTTTCTTTCTTGCCTGTTTAGGACCTGTAAAAATTCGACACATATTAAGAAAATAATACATGTAGAAATGCATGTTTACTAGGACTAGTAAGATTAGGGTTAATGCTCCAATCTCGTTGAGAACTTTTTTTTACGTTGCAATTCCTTACAATTGGTTGCATCTTTAAAAACAACCTGTAGCACAATGATGCATATGTAGAGGGTACTTTCAGAGGCTTTGTTGTCTTGAGGCGGAGAATAAGGAAACTGTTTAAATGATTTCGCGTGGTCCTTCCCGTTGAGCGTTTAGAGAGTACAAGAACTAAATATCTCTCACTGACCTCTTTCTTTGAACAACCAATATGTGAAAATGGACATGGGCCCTCCACATTTTCACAGTCTCCAAAAACTGGATCCTGGTGATCTCGCATCTAAAAAAAAGATCAGTAATTAATCGAATAATTAATAGACTAACAGAAAAGTCTCTTATTTAATAGAAAGTGGAATATTAGCCTGCCAGTGACAATAATTGATAATAATAACGATGATAATTATTATAATAGTAATAATTATAATAATAATAGTACTTAATGATGGAGGCAACGATAGAAGTAACAACAACATCTTCATAAAAATTTTGAAATTGCACTGCGCACTGATTGCCCTCGCATAATTTTAAAAGATTGAAACTAGCAATGAGTCATTCTTTGAGAACTGTTTCAAATTCTGAGACGTTATTCAAACAACATCATTCTTATTCATTCAAAAAATTTACCTGTCTACGAGGAATATCCTCTCTGTTACAATTGCCACAACGAATTGGATATGCTGGACAGTCCGTCTCCTGGTGCGCCTATAAGACAGATCATCTACTGAAGGCGAAACTCTAGCAAATATTTTAGTATTTCTTCCATTACTTTTATTTGTCCTCACTTTGATTGCCAGGTCAAGGGGAACCTTGCAAATCAAATTTTGCCGCATGCGCTAGCATTTTTACCACCAGTCAGAGAGGGGCACACCACAGAGTAATGGAAGCTTTTACCAACCTCCTTGAACAGCTTGGATCGAAATTATTTTGGCTTACGATTACTTTGAGAGTAAACGTGCATGTTTTACTCGTACAGTGTATGTACTATCGTTTGACCCTAGTGCTGAATTTGTTATTTAGGGGAAGTTCGTGACAATCTGCATTAATTTAGCTTTTATGATTTGTTCTGCGACGTCACCTTAGTATTCATACAGCCTGTAAATAGCGATCGTGTCTCTTCTTTATTTCCGCTGTTTTGGCAACCCAAGGCTGTTTTGTCAAGAAGTTCATAATCATTTCAAATTCTCTACAACTTAAGGGCTCCGCCGGATTGTTACCCAAGACAAATCTAAACAATGCAGAGCACTAGTCGTAATTAGTTTGGGCTTCAGCTGTTCGTCTTGGCTATGATTACCAAAGCTTATCGGTTTCCAATACTTGTGTCCTCAAAGTAGCAACATTATTTGAACAATATTTACAGATAGTTCACCTTCATCTTGTTCAGATTGATCTGTTGTTGACAAAATGAGCACTTTTCTAATCTGTACGTGCATTCCTCCTTTAAATGCCTAGTAATATCAGCTTTTTTCACCAATACACCACACTCAGCATGAACGCATGGTAATTTCAGGAACTCGCAAGTTGAGATATGGCTCTGTGACAGGACAAAATGATACTTTAGTTTCTCCTAGTACTCAGTCATTAGGTGGCAGATACACATTCGTGGCGGCTTGCTGAATATATTTAAAATACAACAACAACAACAAAAAACTCTTCATCTCAGGCTTCTGTACTAAAAGAGAGCGAATGTTTATGGTTTAATCACAAAGTTGTTCCCAATAAAAATGAAAACTTGACCCACATGAAGTGGTAGATTTGTTTAAATGTCACGGTTAATTCCTAGGATGGTACATGCATTAGAAATTATTTTTTTAATCAAACAGAAACAACCTGAAATAAATGTAAGAGGAAAAGAAAGCTGTCTTCGTTAGTGAAATAAATCTAAGGATCAGAGAACACCTCTATCTCGGTCGACTTTGGCGTAATAATTTTTATCCAAACCTACTTGGACGTCATCGGATCAAAATAAAAAGCGGTGAAACAGTAGTAGAATAGAACAAGTATTTACGTCTAAATGTCTGACTTCTCCCTTCCAATGGCATCCGTCATCCGAGAATGTGCAATGTACGGCAAGCGCAAGTATTTCTCTCCGCATGAATCTGTCTGCAAAAACCTGAGAGAATGCAATTGTCTGGTATTAAGAGATGATCATTATTAAATCGTCGAAGAGTTTGAAAAATGTCTTAGTCAGAAATCTTTTCTTATGAAATGACCAAAGCTCACATGATATGCATGCATCCCATATTGCCATTCTGAAATGCTGGTGGTAACAACTTCGAACTACACCCGGGAATGGAATCGATAATAGAAAAATTCTCTCGATTTTAATAGTAAGGGTGGGGTTGGATGCTGACGGCAACGCCTACGGTTGCTTTCATTCGGTAGAGGCTGTTACCCACAAGTCTGATATCACCACTGCTTGCTTGTATATTACTTTTACCTGGCGGCAGATATATCCCAAGACAGGCTCACGAAGCACCAGGAGCGAGAGAATGCGTTTCACCCGGGATTAAAGTCTCGGCGCGCTGAAAGTCTCGCAAATGACGTGACTAAATGAAGGTTCAAAGGATGGTATACAAGTGAATGTGGTTCAGTTCACATCAGCGAGGCAAGGAGCAGGAGAGAGACATTCGACTTACCTGTACCTTTGCTATCCCGCTAATGAAGGTTAAGATACACTTGCTCCTTTTCAATTGGCAAATCGTAAACAATATTCCTTCTTTGAATAAAAACGCACTTATATGTGTTTTATCTAAGTTTTTTTTCGACTCCATTTTAATTGCGCTGTGTTACATGTTACTTCCAGCTCGCGTGCAAACTTTGCTAACACGTCACGCTTTATTGTCTTTCTCTGAGTTTGCTCTGCTGTTTTGTTTTAAACAAAGCATTTAGCTGAACTGTTTTTTTTATACAAAGGATTCCTAATGATGCCAGACAATTCAAGTAAAATGTTAGGAAATTAAATCATCTTCATTAAAAAAGAAAAGTGTTGTTATTACTGGCGCGCTTGTAAGACAGTGGCACCAATTAAACGGTTATCGTTTACGCCCATCGGCAAGCTCGTGGTTTAGGAATGATCAAGTTCAAGTTGTGCCTTCACAAAGGGGTGTCCCAAACATTCCCTTCGAAGTCTAAAATAAACGCTGACTAATGAGATGTATAATGAATTTCCTACTTAATTCGCTTTTTGATTATAAAAGTTGTAATTACATAAGATCGCGTTTGAAAAAGACACAGTACAAAGAAAAAAAAATCCAAACCTGAGTGGGCAGAAGCCTTGTCTGATCCTTTAAACATATCATCGCCATGGAGGTTTCATCCCTGATAGAAAAACAGCCACTGATTTGTAAGATGGAACAGGAATCAGTTAGGTATCTCTCTAATATGAATAGTGTAACCAGTACGTCTTTAGTGATGATAATAGAAAACAGCAAAAATAGTGGCAGTTTAAAATCTTCGAACGTACACTTACTTAATGAGATTTACCAAACATGACTGGCAATAAAAATGTCCACAACTTGTCTGCATGGCGTCTCTTAAAAGCAGTAGACAGTATAGGCAAAGGTACTTCTCGGCTAAAGCCTCTTTGTCCCTTTTTGAAAGAGGATGTCCAGGCATGCTTTTTGTGGAATGACAGAGAAGGTGGGAAGTTTACTTAACTTTGTGCACCTGTATCTGTAATTATAATCACACCGTAAAAAAAAAACATGAGGTTACACAAGGTAGCCATAACGAAACTGAAAAAGATTATCGTGCATGGAAAATAAAACATATCCGTCTACTTCATGCTTAATAATTAGGTTATGAGCACGATATTTCTAATAATAATAATAATAATAATAATAATAGATGACGAGGGGCAAGCCCGAATCCGCCATCACAATCATCCATCACGAAATAGATTGATGGCGAATGAATAAGCCGATCAGATTACAGTTAAGTGACATTTATAATACGACAAAATAGGTCAACAATTGTTTTCAGCCTTTGAAAACAAAGCAGCTAAAATGATGGGAAAAGTGGTAAAAACTTGTGCATTTCTACTATTTTATTTATCTGTCTCCCTTTTCTCAGTCGCTGTCCACTCTCAAATTGTTACATTTCGAATTCTATTTGGTAAGCCTTCGTCGGGCAATGGGTTCCGACGATACGCGTTATTGTTTGCATCCCTTTATTTTATTTGCACTAACGCATTTCGATCCCCTTTATCATCATCGTTATTATCGTCATCATTACTAACATTTTTGTTATTATTATTATTATCATTATTATTATTATTATTATTATCATTATTGTTATCATCATTATTTCTCGTTGTTGTTTCTAAAGACTTAGGACTCGAAATTCTTATGTATGCCTTACTAATTTGAAGAAGCATCGCAAGTCGTCACAAACAAGGCTAACCTCTATGAGAGCAACGTTTACTGATATTCTGCTATGCAGAATTGGAATGCACTGATAAAAGCTTGCTTGATTGTTGCAAAAGAGTAAAAAAAGTAAAGTACTATTTGAACCCGGGGATAACACGTGATAGTGTAGTGGGATCGTCCTGAGAAGGACTGTCGGTTGTCGGTAGTGGTGACTGATGTTTTGACAGACAGAGTGGAAGTCATCATCAGAATGGTTGTGGTTGGTCGAATGTTCTAAGTCCGGTTCGTATAAACTGATAGGTCAGTTTTGCCGTGATGTCATTGGCTGTAAAACTCAAATGCCGTAGGTCGGTCGTGATTGGTCTGTTTCGATCTGTCAGTAAAGGTAGGTTGTTCTGTTCGATTCGTTTGTGATGTTAATTTCGAGAGTAAGTTGTTTGTATGGTGCTGGTTGCGGTTGACACCTGTTGAGGGGAGTCTTATCTAAGTTGGTAAACCAGTGCCGTATATGTGCTTAGTAAGTCCGTGATGTTCAGCAATGTGATTATTGAAATCACCTTTCCTCGTCGCCCGCTTGTATTCAGTCAGCCTTGTTGTGAGGTTTCTGCCAGCCTCTCCGATGTGGGAGGCTTAGCAGTCGGAGCAATTGATCTCTTTTTAAAAAAAAACATGGTCAAGGTATTTGTTCGAGTCGGATAAGCTGTCTGTCGTGTTGCATACTGGTTGCCCTGCCGTGTTAGAGTCCTGATAGTTGTGGCTTTGTGTGATGTCGGGTTGTAGGATGACTTGTCTGGCAGTCTGTCGGGATGTGTTGGTTTCCCATGAAGGAGTTCGAGAATCCTTTAATATTCACAAAATATATGCAGAGGTCCTTCCGATAACATAAGAGTGGCGGATAAATCATATATTGAATTCCCCAAAGCCTTTCGTTCAACAAACACATGCTTATTCGGGGAGATTTACAGTAAAGATATGGGGAGCCTGTATACAGCTTAAGGCAAAATGTTAATTTTTTTTACTAAGAGGAAATATCTAAATAGGAAACAGGAAATGTGAATATCTGATATATTTATGCAATATATGTTTGTTCGTTGAAGAGGCCACATGGTTAACGCTGATATTTCAAGTTGATTTCCAAATGTCGAAAAAAATGGCTTAGATAAGCATCAGCTATCAATTTGCCAAACGTTTGCCCGTCTACCCACTGGCAGCCCGAGCTCCAGCTGTGAGATGATCCTCTTGCATAATAAAAATCATGGCGAAAATATAAGAGTTTGTATGGGAATATTTACGACCGCTCTTTGGAACAAAACTTGAAAATACAGTCAAATTTTCGCTGAAAATGGCAAACGCAGTACATCGCTTGTTTTCTGACCGCTTATTTTATCGCAACGAGGCCATTTTAGCGAGTATACATTTCTAAGTTTACTACTCCTAAGAGAAGGAGAAAATTTGTCGTAACAACGGGGGAATCCTCGTATCTCATTGATACAACCGTTGTTTTTTTCCTAAACCGGTGTAGGCAAAATAGCCAACAGGCAAAACTTCAGCTTAAAATACTTAAATCATCTCAAGAGCTACTTTATCGTCAAATTAATGATAATCAATTTTCACTCAAGATGAGATTTTCTTGAGCAATAAATTTAAGAATTTGTTTATGCTTAGCGTGCGTATATCGAGTTATGGATGTACGCGGGAAGTTTGGAGAGCACGAAAAATACGTAAGAGTAGCTCAAGGCGCAGCCGAGAGCAACTCTAGCTTTTTGAGTGCCCTCCAAACTTCCCAAGTGCATCCATAACTCGATATATGAAAATATAAAATTCTTTTATAACAGAGCGACAATGAACAAAAAATGCTCAGGTCATCTTTTTTACGCACGGGCATGCGTAAATAAAGATTTTGTTCATAGCGGCTCAATAGGACTTACATAGGGCAAGCACGCGCGCTATGTTATAAAAAGTATTACTCAATGAATGCGAACAATGATAACACCCAGAACAGGCGAAATGCTAAATACATGATCACACATTCATCACGAGTTTATTTGTCGAGCTATAATTGATTGACAGAAATAAGAACCGAGTTTTAATTAAAATATGCCACGAGGTTTTTCGTGACGTCATCTTTTCGTGAGTGATTTCATCTAGTCGAAGACACGAGTAAACCTCTCTTTACAACATCAGGCGGAAAAGTATTTTCAAAATAGCATAACACGTCGATGTAACAATATATGGCTAGATGTAGCCTAAAAACGGTGCAATGGGAAAATTGACTAAAGGAACTATGAAGCGCATCGTGACAACTGTTAGTGGAGCAAAGCCGACCGGTAAGATTTCCTAACATCAAACCTCTTGATAAAGGTCATCAATATATATCGCTTTCCATTTATATTGACCAAAGTCAAACGTTCACAATACTGAAATAAGAGGGATAAATTTAGGCACAAACTGAAATAAGCGCTTCAACTTTGCCCTGCGAGAGACTTCGAAATCGTCTGCTCGTTTAAGAAAAAAAAATGAAAAATTGTAACAAAATCTCTAAACGAATTGTTATAGATGTTAGGAGATATTTATTTGGATAATTTATTGCTTTACAAATTTGAAAAATACGTTCAAAAATTGAATGTATTCGCCGTTGTTCCGGCGACGGGTAATTGATTAATATTTACATGTAGACGTTGCTTCTCGCTGTCAAACGGACGCATTGTTTAGACGTTGCCTATAATTATCAAATCTGTTCGATTTTTCGAGGAAAAGAAGCTAAATTCGATGCAAAATAATGAAACTTGTACTGTGTGTTTTCTGTAAGAGTTTTTTTTTGTCGAATGATTGATTCTTTAACGAAAAAGCATTTCAGCGTCCTGGTTTTATTGAAATGTGCTTACGAAGCATATTCACTTCGTATTTGCATGTTATATTTCGTAAAAATAATTGCGACGCAAAACACGAATTATCACGCAGATAAAAATGATTCTAAATCATCCTCTACCTTTTAAATAACAATCGTTTGATGTATCAAAGAAAATTTTAGAATCACACGGATGATTTTCATAAGGAGAAGCGAGCCGTTAAAGTAAACCGTAAGATGGCTACGGGAGTTATCGACCACTGTAACACCTCTGTCATTGATGTCAGAGGAACAAACCAAATGGTTAAATCAATCCCCCATTAGCAAAAAAATCTTACAAAACGTGATCGAGAAGGGCTGAGAGCTTCCTTTTTCACTCGAGTAAACCACCATTAAAGGAAAAGGTGGAATTTGTAAAGGGATAACTTACTAGACTTACTTCGTAACTATCTGAGTGAACGCAAACAGTACGGGTCATTGACAGATGTCACTCCTCCCCAAGCATTGTGACGGCTGGAGTACCACAAAGGAACACACTGGACCCCGTTGTTTCTCCTGTTCATCAACGACCTACCTTAGCAGCCTTGCGTTCTACCGTTGATATCTATGCGGATAACGCCACTCTCAGTTTCCCATCCGACGTGACAAATGGACTTCTTAGCATCCTATGAGCCCTTCAACAACACCTAGATAACCTTTCGCAGTGGTCGGCTGCTAACAAGATGGTCACGCACGCCGCCAAGACTAAATGTCTCTTAGTGACCGGGAAACGCCTTACAAATAAGATTGTCGATAGTTTATTCAATTTTCATCTTGGGAACTCAAATACATAGCAGGCGAATTGTCAAAAACTCCTAGGACTTACCAATGACCGACACTTAAGCTTTAATATTCACGTTGAAGAACTGAGTAAGAAACTATTCCAGAGGATAGCAGTGCTTAGGAAGATAAGAAGATTCCTCCGCATTGAACAGCGCATTTTACACTATAACACAATGATAAAACAACTAATGTTATATGGATCAACTGTTTGGTCAAATTGTTCAAGTGATAACATAATGAGAGTCTTCAAGCTTCAAAAACGCGCTGCCCGAGTTATCCTGGAAGCTGACGCAAGGTCGAGCAGCGTGAAATTCTTTAGGACTAAAATTAGTGTGGCTCCCTTTCTATGATGAAGTTAAGTTAAATAAGAGTACTTAAGTCTTTAAGCGCCTACAAGGAAGCTGTCCTGCTTATATTTACGATCTACTCAAATTTAATGCAGACGTACACACACGAACTGGTCGTTATAGTAAATTAAATCTCGCCTGCCCTCGTTTCAATCGTGAAACCAAGGGAGAGGACCTTTAGCGTATCTGCGACAAGGCTATGGAACCAACTACCCATTAACCTAAAAAAAG